CTTGGTACTGACCTCTGCATTATGCTATAAATGTTCTACCTCTCATATCTAAACAAAACTAGTCTAAATGGTGTTGCGTCTCAATACTCAAATTCTAATTTCACATGTTCATACACCCTGTATACTGCAGGATCGTATGGGGAGGTCTATCATGGAGACTGGCATGGGACTGTAAGTTTTAAGATATGCTAATCCTAAAAGTTGAGCCATTGTATTGTCTGCACGCATTGTGGCATTTTGAGTATTTTTCGTTATTTGGTTTTACAGGAGGTTGCTGTGAAGAGGTTTCTAGACCAAAACTTTTTGGGCGAATCACTTGATGAATTCAGAAGTGAGGTACAAGCTTCGACCTTCACCCATTTCATGAACTTTTTCATGTTCAATCATTTTATGGCATGAATGCATGCTATCTCCTTACTAGCTGGGGAGGACGGGAAGTATTCTGCCAAGGGGGTGGCATTGAAGGAAAAACATAAAACATTGTTTGAGAGGGAGAGGGGCGAGTACACTACTAAACCTAAGAATTATTTGCACCATTTATATAAATGTAGTTAAAACTTTGCAGGGACCACCATGGTTCAGTTATCGCTTTAGGTTTTCTAGATTCGTGTAGTTACAGTGAATGAAGTAAGGAGTTCTCTCTCTCCCTAGAGTAACATTGTATCCTTCTATGTACTTAGGCAGCGTTTGGTTGCTGGAGTAAACATTAGAATGGAATGGGAATGGAATCGATGTTTAGGAAGTTAGAGGGTAAAGTAGAAATATTTTCCATGTTTAATGTGCTTACCAGAATATTTCCTTCAAATATTGAAGTTAATCTTTTATTCGTAAAATTTGAAGGTTCGGATAATGAAAAGACTCAGGCATCCTAATGTTGTTCTCTTCATGGGTGCAATAACTCGCCCTCCAAATCTTTCCATTGTTACAGAATTTCTTCCAAGGTATTCCAGAAATTTCATTCTCTTTTTATGAAACAGTTACTTTCGAGTGTCTTTTATGGAATTCAACTTGTTTCATAGATATTGTCGTAACTAATAGTTCTTGATTCTTAATTCTACACAAGTACAAGGAGCTTCTTTGCCTTAAGAACACAACCATTTTGTCTCCTTCAAAACGCAAGTACCATTCACAAGGATTGGATTTTATTGTACTTTATTTTTAACTATTACCCTCAGTTTCTTAGAAATAGATAATATTGATCTTCATTTGGCGTCATAGTCTGGCTGAAACAAAACACAGCACTGATTTTGTGTTGTTTGAATTATTGAATTTCGTTGTTTTGACCTTGGTCTATATATTTATGTATATAAGAAGTTAAGAACTGCATTGTGTTGATTTGGTTAATTATATTCATGCGTTATTAATATGTCATATTTTGCAGAGGTAGTTTATACAGGTTATTACACCGGCCTAACAATCAATTAGATGAGCGAAGGCGCTTGAGGATGGCTCTTGATGCGGTAATATTCTCTCTTTCTTTCCATTATTCCAGTATGAGCCAACAATCATGTATTGTAATTGATATCTTCATCTAGCTTAACTTTGTTTTTTCAATGATCAAATCTTCAGGCTCGCGGAATGAATTACTTGCATAACTGCACTCCAGTAATTGTACACCGTGATTTGAAGTCTCCAAATCTTCTTGTCGACAAGAATTGGGTTGTGAAGGTGTGTTTCTCATCTCTTTGGCGATATTCCTGTACACATATAATGGACGGGTAGGATGTGAAGTTTTCTGCTTGTTATTAGGTCTGCGATTTTGGGTTATCACGAATGAAGAACAGCACATTTCTCTCATCAAGGTCGACTGCAGGGACGGTAAAGCCCTACTTGATAACTTCTCTTTCTCAAATGCTGCATATATTTGATTTATTAAATCTTGAAAGCTATATCTTCAGGCTGAATGGATGGCTCCGGAAGTGCTACGAAATGAACCTTCCGATGAAAAGTATGTGTACTCCCCACCAAATGTTGTATTATATGTAACTTTTGTTTCCGTGGTTGGAGTTTTACTGATATATAAAATTTGGTTGACTGTGCAGATGCGATGTTTATAGCTACGGGGTCATATTATGGGAGCTCTCTACGATGCAACAGCCATGGGGGGGAATGAACCCAATGCAAGTTGTTGGTGCAGTTGGATTTCAACATCGCCGTCTTGATATTCCAGATAATATAGATCCTGCAGTTGCAGATCTCATTAGAAAATGCTGGCAAACGTAAGTATGCTTTTGGTATCTATTTTTCTTGTTTTATTTTCGTAATTACAGTCTATCATTTGTAAATCAATTCAAATGTGTATTTAGGCAGATGAACAAACCTTACATTTGACCTAATTAACATTGCAGAGATCCAAAATTGAGACCGTCGTTTGCTGAGATCATGGCTACTCTGAAACCGTTGCAGAAGCCGATGAGCAGAAGTGCACAGACCTAGTGCACAAGTAGGCAGTGGCCATCGGAAGGTTCAGCCATCCTGCGCTGGAGAATCCCCAGCTGGCTGGCTGAAACAGTGAATATCGGCTTGTTTGATAGCCAAAATATGGATGAAGGCAAGTTGTACATTTGATTGGAACAACTTCTGAGAAAGAGATTGAAGATCATGACCTAACATATACTCCAATTTGAAAATTTTCATTTTCCTTTTTTATTTTTCGGTTTCCTCCTCATTTCTGTTTTCCCAACAGTGCGGCCATTTGCAAGGTTGTGTATTTGTTTGTAAAGAATTCATTGGCAATTGTTGTAATCGATGTTTTGATTTCCGGTGTCCGTTGGTCGGAAGAGTATCATGTTGCTTGAACCTTAAGGTGAAAAGGCAATAGTTCTTAATGCAAATGGAGTACTATTGACAGTTTGACATACAGAATCCGATATACAAAATAATAATGTCATTTCTACTACATTTAGCGGCCACGTTGCTTATTCCTCTTTAATAAAGATGAACCGCACTTGTGTTTATAGGATTCACCTGAATTAGTGAGGCGGTCAACAAAGGGTAGGCTTGTGGGCCAATATAAGGAAGAGCAACCCACCATTTTAATTTTCCATCATGTACATGGATAAGGTAGGGACCAGGACCTGCTTAATGGAAGGAAGTTTTTGGTTCCCCATTTTTCACTTGGCAGCTCAGTCAACATTTTTATCTTCTTAGAAATGGCCTCCTTCTCTGGTTCTTCACCATTTATCTCCCACTCTCTAACAAGACCAAACCACTTCTCTGCTTCTTCATCACAAACGCCGCCACCTCCGCCCCAAAATCTGCCTTCACAACCGCCTCATTCTCCGACACCAATTCAGCAGCTCAGCACAAGTTCATCCGAGCAGCCGCCGACGCCGGTAAAAGCGGAGCAGCAAAAGCCTTCCAAGACCAAAACCAAGGCAGACTCCACAGACTGGATAGCTTCCACCTTGACAAGGAGGTTTGGGATTGGTGCTGGCCTTGCTTGGGCTGCCTTTCTCACGGTTGGTGTTGTCTCTGAGCAAATTAAGACCCGCCTCGAGGTCTCCCAACAAGAATCAAACACAAGGTTGTAAATATATGTATATACATATATTATACATAATAGTCCAAATTATATAATTTCATGTTGTGTTTTTGCAGAAATGTTGAGAAAGAAGAAGAGGTGGTGTTACCTAATGGGATAAGGTACATTTCTCTCTCCCTACATAAATACTGTAGCTATCACAGCAACTGACATGCACGTAATCACATCAGAACTTATATCTAGGTGAGAACAGTACTGGCCGAGTAGGGTGGGTAACGTCCTCGGATGTACTCATGTTACCTTTCCTTTTTGAAGAGCCAAAAACGATTACGACAATGTTTGGCAGTAATATTCAAAAGCTTTCATTCATTCAAGAATCACTTTTCAAGTGTTTTTTCAAGAAGTACTCAGATTAACATCAAGTGTTTCCAATACACACTGTTAGAATGACTTATGAGCATAAATTCGTTTTACGTGAGTAAACGAACCCTAATTAAACACATGCATTTTTAAGTGCAGATACTGCGAGTTAAGAGTCGGCGGCGGGGCTACACCGAGGCCGGGGGACTTGGTGGTGATCGACCTCAAGGGCAAAGTAGAAGGCAGCGGACTGGTGTTTGTGGACACATATGAGAGGGAGAAGAAGCCGTTGGCTCTGGTGGTGGGGTCAAAGCAGCCTTACAGCAAGGGAGTGTGTGAAGGGATAGAATATGTGATGAGATCCATGAAGGCAGGAGGCAAAAGGAGAGTGGTGGTTCCTCCAAGCTTGGGGTTTGGAGAAAATGGTGCAGATTTAGGCCCTGGTCTGCAAATTCCTCCTTTTGCAACCCTAGACTATATTATTGAGGTTGACAGAGTCTCAATTGCACCCGCATGAGGATCATTCATTCTTTGTCTTTGTTAATTGTATATTTTTGATATTGATAAAAGAATGTGGAATAAATAATTTGCGTTTGGTTACAACATATAGGGTGTAACTTAGATAGGAAAATTCGATTCCGACCAACTCCGAATTGAGAATTTCTAATTTTGACGCATCCGAATCCAAAAATTTGAATAGGTATCGGATGGTAATCACTTTAATGCCTACTTAGTTACGCTACTAAAGTCAACAATTAAGGTCATCTCCAACTAAAGGAGGGCCAAATGGCTCATTTTAGCCCTATATAGCCCTACAGGAAATTATATTTTAATGAGCCGGAAGGCTGACAAAATGTCAAGCTTGACATTCTGGCACTGGAGGGCTGGAAATGACCAATCCGCTGGCCTGATTTGGGGGTATTGGCCTTGTGGGGCCCACAAGTCTTTTAGGCTAACCCTCGGTTGGCAAACGATTTTTATATCATTCCGAGTTATTTTTAACCTTATTACCCTTTAATCGGATCCGTTAGAGATGACCTAAAATACTTAATGTAAACCCTTTTAAATTTTATCAATTTTATAATAGGTCTCCGATGTGGGACAACATGATGACTCTATTGTCGAGTTGTGCTTGTTTGCTAAAAAATTCACCATTTCTCTTTCAGACTTTTTGAGAGAGAGAGGCAGGGAGCAATGGTGTTAAAACTGCAGCCAGAGACTTTTTCCTGTTGTTTTGAATTTTCGAAGAGCTTCCTTTCCACTTTTTGATATCTCAGCAGCTGCAAGCAAAGCATAGAGCTTTTTATTCAGGAGCAAAAACCCAGAACAATTTCCATGGGAAGAGTCTTGGATTCCAATTTCTTAGCTTTCACTGCCATTGTCACTGTAACCTCTCTCTCTCTCTCTCTCTCTCTAAAAGCTTTCTGCTTTCTGTTTTGTATATCTTTTTTCCTATTGGGTTGAATTTTCTCTCTAGAATCTCTGCAATATGGTTTTTTTGTTGATTAAGGTGGGGTATCAGTTGTTGTTCTTCATAGTCACTGCTCTTCTCAAGTTCGACAAAGTCACTGACTTTGCTGGTAATTCTTCTCTCTGAGCTGAATTTATTTCCTGAGAATTTGATAGTTAATTAACTTAATTTCCTGCTTATCAATACTAATTAGAAACTGATTGGGTTGTTTGGTTGCCAAGAAAATGCTCAGATTTGTTTTTTGATATAATTATGACATGTTTTTTGTCTGTGATTAAATTTATTCTTCCTTTTACATTTCACAGGAAGTACCAATTTTGTTATCCTTGCTATTCTGACTTTGGTTGTCAAAGGTTCATGGCATTTTAGACAGGTATTGTATTATTATCTCCCGAAAGGTGTTTAATTTGCTCGCAGTTAGTGTTGATAACGGATAAAGCAAATCTTCGGGGGTTTTTTTTTTCTTCAGGTAGTGTTGAGTTTGCTTGTGATAATATGGGGTCTTCGCCTCGGGTTTTTTCTACTGATGAGGTATTTTGATGCTTTTGTGTCATTCTATTAATCTGGCATACTTGCAGCACTGTCTGAGTATCGAGTACAACATTACCTATATCGAAATCCAATCACAATTTTAATTCTCAAAACGTTTCCTCATCAGGATTTTGCAATGGGGAGAGGATCGGCGTTTTGATGAAATACGTGGTAATCTAGGGAAGTTAGCAGTTTTCTGGATATTTCAGGTTCTCTTGCTTTCCCTGTTTTTGGTTTTATCATTGCGTTGTGCTTGTTCTCTGAAGGATAAAGTTGATATGATTCTTAGAAGCAACCTGATTTTTCTGCAGGCTATGTGGGTATGGACTGTGAGTTTACCTGTAACAGTTGCTAATGCAAGCAACAGAACGCCATTGATCCAAGCTGCAGACATAATTGGATGGATTATGTGGTTTGTCGGTTTTTCAGTTGAAGCTGCAGCTGATCAGCAAAAGTTAACTTTCAAAAGTTCTCCACAAAATAGAGGAAAATGGTGCAATGTCGGACTATGGAAATACACTCGTCATCCAAACTATTTTGGTGAGGTTAGTATCTTCACATGCTTGCATTGTTTGCCTCACATACTTGCAAGTAATAACGTAACGAGACTCACAGATAAGTGAAAATATCATTCATCCAAGAAATTTCGACATGTTAGTATCTTTGCGTTAATTCTGTCAAATTCAAATGGAACCTTTATAAGTGTTGTTGCTCAGATATTCCTTTGGTGGGGAGTATTTGTGGCATCCACACCCGTATTGGAAGGTGCAGAGTGGCTGGTGATTCTTGGACCAATCTTTCTCACGTTGTTGCTTCTTTTCATCAGTGGCATCCCGTTGCTTGAGGTTTTGCTTCTTTCCCTTTCTTATTGCCAAAATTCGTCGCACTTGAAAAGTTGCTAATGATTTGTGGTTGAACAATAACAGAAATCTGCAGATAAGAAGTTTGGAAACGTAGACGAATATAGGCTGTATAAAAGATCGACTAGGTAAACTTCAGCTTTTCTTTTGGCACAAGTTTCATTCGAGTATGAATTGCAGTATCTGTGACCAACCTATTCATTCTTTTGCAGCCCTCTGATACCGCTACCTCCAGTTATATACAAGAACTTGCCGTTGTGGTTCAAAACAACTTTTCTCTTTGAGTTTCCTCTCTACAGCCGTAATCTTCCTCGAGAAAAGCCAAACTGGTAAGGCTACAATCTGTTCAAAATTATATTTTTTCCTCCTGAAGGCATAACTCTCAACTTATCATGTGCTGCTGTTGAGTTCATATATGTGCATATCTGCAATAATAAGATGAGTCTTCCACACATGGAAAACGCTTAAACAAGAAGCAATTTAAACACACAATCAGTGCGTGCGCATATTCTGAGTGCGAAAGAAGTCTGGAAATCGACAGACTAGGGTATCCATAGGAAGAAACATTTTGAAAAATCAGGGGTTTAAACTGTAAACTAGATCTCCAAGGTAAAGTAGGAGCATCCGGAATTAGGAATTGCCGTAATGAGAGAAAAACGGTTTAGGTGGTTTGGGCATGTGAACCGAAAACCTATAGGTGCTAGAATATGTGATTATGAGATAGAGGAACACCTAGGAAGACTTGGAAAGAGACTAAGAAAAGACATGGAGTACTTGGAGCTAACGGAAGACTTGGTGCAAAAACAAGTGTAGTAGCGTTCTAGGATTCATACAGCTAACCTCACTTAGTAGGATAAGGCTTCTTGTTAAAACTGTAAACTTAGGAGGTTCTGGTTCGATCATTCAATAGTGCATATATTTCATTTGCTAGGTTTATGTTTTGACATGCCGAACTGTTTGTTCAAACTTGTAAGACGTTGCCATCTGTGGAAGGTGTAGAACAAGCCGGGTAGAACGAAGAAGCGACGGATTGAAGATCGGCTAGCTTCCGATTCTTTTGTAATACTTCGAATTGTAACGATTGTATGCATTTATTCTACAGTTGAATGAAATGTGGACTTGTTTCTCTTCTTTGCAAGAAGGAATATCCTAATCTTTATTTTTGATAAAACGGTATATTTTGTTAGATTAGATGTTAGATTAGCCATCAACGGAGTTCGAACTCACACCGTCATGTAAGAGTTCAGCTCATTTCCACTATTGTGGTAAATGGCCACTTGCAGGAGTTTGAACTCACGCCGTCATGTAAGGGCTCAACTCATTTCTAGTATTATGGTAAAGGGTCACTTGCAGCAATATCCTAATCTTATCTTAAACTAATTTGATAGGAATTCAAACTCGGCTATAGAGGTGCACTCGTTATCCTAGCCAAACATTTTTTTTTTAATTTTTTGGGGTGAGTTCCTGCCCTAACCAAACTTGAGTACCCCTATATTCATGGAAAACAACTGTGATCAAATGAGAGCGAGCATTGAATTCAGGCTCAAGCTTGAAAACACTTAATATCATGTTTATAATATTCATGTAATTGTTGATATTTTCGTCAAAATATTCGAAAAATCAATGATCAACATGGAAGGGGAGGTGAAATATAAACTTCACTCGATATCAACGAGATACAAGAAAATCAATGAATATCAACGATGTTTATTGATATTTTTCCGGAACCTACTACATATTTTGAACTTTTAATATTTTTGTAAGAAATTCTCTTATTTCGACTAAATTTAAATGAATTGATATACTCACCCTGTTGCAAATTTTCTTAATTTCTATTCAAGGCAACCAATTTTAACATCAACATATCCATTGATATTTCTATAAATTTGCATATCAATACTTCCACTTGTATTGATATTTTAAACACTGCAAAGTATCAAGCTGTGTACCGATTTATATTTATTAATTCCGAAATAACAACACATCCCTACCGTTCAAATCGTTCACTGCTTTATTAGTCATCAGGGGAAAAACTGCACAAATTACACCCCTACTAATTGAGACCTAAAAATTGAGGAATAAACAAAAAAAAAAAAATTTAAATACAAAGAAATTATAGTAAATTATACACTAGCAGTGTTGTTAATGTTTTCCAAGGATATGACAGCCCCGGATTTCATCTCATCTGAAGCCTGAGAACGGGACATTAGAATGTAAATAACCCACAAATGAAGGCACACGAAGTAAATCGCGGCCCATATTTTCGCGGTCGGATTCCTCCTCAAAAACACTACTCCGGCCAAGAATATAGACTCCAATTGCTGAAGTGCTGAACCCAGGTGCTTCCCGCCTGACCGGATTCTGTCCTCGAATAAAGGCCTGCCCGATTCTATGTCCCTTGACGAGGCAGCGGAAAATTCGGTCAATGACTTGCTTTCGTCTAGTGACCTCGAGACAGCCTGCATGATGCATAAATTTAGTACCGTCCCTCGGATAGATCATCTTGCGCATTAAAGTTTCGTCACAAAAGAGTTATCTGTATAATCAACATACCTCAATTCTGAACAGAAGAGTTGCCTTCTCGGAGGAGAGAGCCTCAACCTGGTTCAAGTGGAATCATAAAAAATAGCCTTTCAAAAAGAAAAAAAAACCACATCTAATATTTGAGAATCTAGGCTACACGAATTCCGTAATTAGTACGTAAGGGGTCCTGTTGTTGTTCTTAAATATGAATGCAGAGTCGATTGTCAAAAGAAATTTTTTTTTAAAATGTGCATCTTAGTTACTTTCACTTAACGGATCTCATCTCTATTGAAGCTTAAAGGTGTCTCAGCAGTATAAAACTTGACCATCAAGTGGAATATCATTCTATTCAGAAAATGTTCAACGCTTTTAGTTCCATTTTGTTGTTCGTTTTTCAAGTCTGGTGCATCTCTGAGTTAGTTGCTACGTTCCTTTCTTAATTATATTCTGTTTATTTTTTCAATAAACATACAAGTCGGTGATAAAGGCACACCCAGATGTTTTTTAATGGTCTTATTTAGGTAACCAGACAAATCCTCTCACTTGAATGACCAAGGGAATTAAGAACGGTGTTGGAATGACAAACCTGGGCTTGTTTATGAATCAAATGGTCAGTCATCTGAGCAAGCCTTCGCTTGAGCTCAATTTCTACTTCTGTTGGATCCTCTATCTCTTTCCTTGTCATTTCAATGTTTGCTTCCAGCTTCTGTGCCTGAAATGTAACACGTAATTTTTCTTGTAAATGATTACGGAATATCACAAAATGTGAGCAATGCATGAATCATCGCACGGTTCTATCAGGAAACACCATTTAATCAATGCTGTCAAAAGCTTCAGTTTTAGTGTTCATAGTCTTAATGAAATGCTGATTACTTTGTGGCCTAACATCCTTCAATGGATCTATTCACTTCCAAAAACGGAAAGATGACAGTCAGATGAATCTAGCTTCGAGGGTGTCACTTAGAGAGATTGTTTGATCTGAACATAGAAGTGAACGTATTCAAGAGATGGAAATCCACAATTCCAGGAGGCGTTGCACTAAAAACCTGACAAATAAAACCCAAGCTATTCACAACTTTTAACAGCACAGGACCAGTTTCTTTAGCCGTATGCAAACCACATGAATTCACTATCAAGCTTTAACTTTCCACAATATTCTATCAAGTAGTTTCCCATGCCCAAGTAAAATATTAACACAAAAAGAGAGAAAGGGAGGAAAGACATAATGGATCAGCAGTTAAAAACTCTCACAGCTTTTGAATATTATAATGAAATCCTCTAACCTTATCTTGCAATCGCACAATTTTATCGGTAACAAAGGCATACTCTGCCTCCAAAATTTCTCGTTCAAGTTCAATTCCTTTTGACGTTGCTACTTTCTTTAGAGATAATTTTGTTTGATGAGTGTCGGAGATCTTCCTCCTGAGCTCTACAAGAAGAAAAATAGTTCCAAGGGATGATACACCAAACATGATATTGATTTCAACATAACACTGAAAATTTCCTTACATTGTGAAATTATTCACTGCTTTACAATATAAAGTCAATATGAGGCCAAAAAAATGTCGGTCTCTATTCTCAATCTACTATAATCAGAACTTTTGTTTATACTCAAATCCTTTAGCCCTCGAGAGGAAATTTGTATTTAAAAATGAAAATAAAAAATAAATAAAAAGGACTTTTCTAGTTTCCACACCCAATTCATTAGTTTACGATTCTAAAGAACTTACCTTCCTGGTTCACTTCTTTTAACTCAATTTGCTGTCGGAGTTCTGCTACCTGATTAGCCTGGACTCCCGAAAGAGTAAAAGAAGAAAAAGGGAAACATGTCAGCAGGAGTAAAAAAACAAAAACAATAGTATTGATAACGCAAAGCAACCAAAACATATGAGAAGCGTTTCGAATCCCCAATAATTGAAATGATAGACAAGAAGGAATGACCTTAAGCAAAGGAATGAATTTTACAGTATTATTTCTCCACCATAATTGAACCACCAAAACAATTTAACCAACTGGACAATTATCTATTGCTCAGAACATCAATTCAGAAGATTATAAAATGTCCATTGGACCACATCAATCATCTGAATCAGGATATAATCATACCTCTACTTGTAGATTCCATTGCACATTGGCTAGGGATTTTGCAAGATCTGCATTTGAAGTCTGCAACCAATTTTAACCTTTAGTAATAACAAAATTCCTAAATATGAGCACGGACTAAAAAGTTCGACAAAAGGGGAAATTCATACTTCTAGACATAACTCAGAATGAAACAGAATTGTTTTTCTAATACACATAAGAAACAGATTGGAAAAGGTTGTAGTACCTCCAGTTTAGCCAACCGTGCAAAGGCTTCCATTCTAGTGTTATTATGTTTCTGCTTTTCTAAATCAGCCGCTTCCATGGTTTCCATCATAGTCATTTGCAGCTTTGAAGCCTGAAGTGTGAACGAAGGTAAATTCAAGTAATAACGTTTTACGCAAGATGATAAAGACATTCAATTTCATTAGATAAAACAAAAAATGGACAAATAGGATTAATGCAGCCAACCTAGGAAGAATGATAAGAACAACAAAATCCTAATAATCTTATTGTTACCTCTTGTGCTTGTTGCTTCACTTGCTCTTCAAGTATTTTTTCCAAGCTCTGCTTCTCACCCTCCAATCTGGCAACCATATTTTCCCTCTCTTTGATGGCCTCCACAGCTTTAGCTGCTGCTTTCTCTGCCAGAATCCTCTCCCTCTTCTTTCTCCTTTCCTCCTTCTCACGCTCACTCTCAGAATCAGAACTTGAACCTGTGTCTGTGTCCGACTCAGAGCTCCCATCACTTACCGAAGTAAAACCTCTCTTTAAATCCTCAGAGGTAGAACTTCTGGACGCTTCAATAGACTCATGCTTCCTCAACCGATCACCCACATTCTCCCCTCCTAACTTCTTATTAGAACCCACATCGTCCTTCTTCACCGACTGTAAAGAAACCTCAGCAGAAAGTTCCTTAGAATCAAAACGCCCACCATTTTCTTCATTTCCCTTATCTTTTGTTTCCTCCAAAGTGTTCAATCCCACATCTCTATAATCCAACTCTCGTCCTTCCAAAATCTTACCATCACTCTTCAACTCAACACTTGAAGCCCTCTCCGGTGAATTTGAAACCGAATAGCCAGACTCCCCCCCATCACTCACTTTCCCATTCAACTTACTTCCTTCCCCAACACTTGCCCTCCGCGCCGACTTCACAACATTATTACCGCCACTCTTTTGATTCTTCTTAGCCTCCAAAACCGACAAACCCGAAGTGGAACTGGCACTCCCCGGCCTCCTACCATCCTTCCTCAAACCCCGAACCCCGGGGAAACCATTGCCGCGATTCGCAGCAGAAGTAGCTCCCCGATTCGGTGTGCTACTAAGGAGTTGAGTCCAGTCACCGTCAGTAAGAGTCTTCCTAGGTTTCAGAACTCCACCAATATCTCTCTCCCTATTACTATTATTACCATCATCATTAACGTTAATGTTATTACTAACGATGTTTAAGCTCGGATCACTGGTTAATTTTCCGCGATAATCACTAATTTGATTTTCTAGGGTTTTCTTCTTCAACTG